GGCCTACTCCTACTCCTACACCTTAAAGCTTATCGTCATATAAACCAGAAACTATTCCCCTGTTACTTACAGTGTCTCTTGTAGCATGATGCATCTTAGGAAGTGCATCTGGCTTTAAATAATGCAGACTAGCTTTTAGTGGTGCTGGACTCGATCAAACATTTGGCTCCTATTAGTGCTGGACTGCAGGCTAGTATAATATAAAAAGGAATGGGCCGTTTGAAGTTTCCATGCTCTCTACAATGACAGAAAGCAGGGTTGGTTAATCCTGCATCACGAACATTATGCTGGTTTGCAGGGCTATTGAATTTTGCCCTTTAGAATAGCACAGCACAGAAGGAGGCCATTTGATCCGTAGAATCTGCACCAGTTTTCAAAGATCAGTCCCTTCCCTGCTTTTTCCTCATGTCACTGCAATTTATTCCCCTTCAGATATTGATCCAAATCCCTTTTGAAAGTTGCTATTGTGTCCACCACCCTTATTGGCACTGCATTCCAAATCCTAACCACTCTTTGCATTGAAAGGTTAACCTTGCGTTACTTTTGATAAATATTTTTGGTTTACTATTTTTTACATGTGTGGCTAGCAGCTCAAATATGCCGCCTGAGAGTGTGAAGGAGGCAAATTCCCGACTGACATTCAAAAGAGAAGTCGATCATTAACTGAAAGAAAATACCAAGGAGTGGTAGAGGTAAATTACTCTTGCAGAAAGCTGGCAGAAACATGACAGGCTGAATGGCCTTCTTTTATGCTGCAACCATTCTATAGTCTTACAATTCTCTGACTAGCAAAGGTCACTAACGATGTACCATTATTTACATCGCACAATGCCATGGTTATTTTAACACCAAATCTAGAATGTCTAGAGTATTTTTACCTAACAAAGCTTGTCCAGCGAATATCTTACATTCCCTTTTTAATATCCATTAATGTCAAATTATTACAGCTCTTTAAGTGGAGTAGTTGATCTTCTTTATTTCTGAGTTTGTAACTTCATTGCCTAATTCTATAATTAATCAATCACTTATTATTTTCTCTTTGTCTTTCCCCTCAACCGACTAGGTTTCCTTTATTTCTCCCTCCAAGATTCAAGGGTAGTCGGATGCACATCCACAGGCTTTTCTCTGATGGACCTGGTTGTAAAATTTGGCCCCAGTCGGGGTGTACTGTCTAATTCTTCTCATCAGCCTAAAGGAAAGAAATGAAGAATTAGAGTTGCAAAGACTTATGCTGATTGGCAAAAGAAACAAAAGTAACATGAGGTTAACCTTTGCAATGCAAATATCTTCTGGAAGTTTCTACGAATGTATGGATATACAAATATACCAAGCAGGAGCAGGAGTAGGCCACTCGTTCCCTTGATCCTGCTGTATCTATCTTTCAATAAGATCGCGGCTGATCTGATTACTTAATATTTCAACCTACACCAGATAACCTCCCATGCCTTGCTTCTCAAAAATATACCTGTCTTAGCCTTAAAACTATTCAGGGACTTCCGCTTTGAGGAAGAGAATTACAAAGACTCATATGCTCTGTGATAGGAAAAATCTCCTTATTTCTGCCTTAAATGGATGAGCCTTTATTTTTAAACAGTGGCTACCTGGTTTTAGATTATCTCACAAGAGAAAACACCCTGTCCTCATGCACCCTGTCAGGATCCGTCAGGATCTTGTATGTTTCAATTAGATTGCCTGATACTGTACTAAACTCACCCAGATATAAGCCTAGCCTATTCGACCAAAACAATTCTGTACAAAATACTTCCAAAATAGTCACACCAGTATCCCACATAGCTGAAGCCTAACATTTGTTTTCAATTCCATGTACAATAAATGATAACATTCTACTAACTTTTATAATTACTATTTGTATCTTACATACTGCCCTTTTGTGATTCACATATTTGGGCGCACAGATCTTTTTGCATCTTAGAGCTTTGCAATGTCTCAACATTTTTCAATTTTTTTTAATTCTTCCTGTTAACATGGACAATTTCTCATTTTCCCACATTGTACTCCATTCATCGCAATTTTGCCCACTCACTTAACCTATCTGTATACCTTTGTACTTTCCTTATTTTATCTCCCCAACTTACTTTCCCACCTGTCTTTGTGTCAACAGCAAATTTAGCAACTATGCCTTCAGGCCCTTCATTCAAGCAATTTGTATGAATTGTAAAAAGTTGAGGCCCCAGCATAAGTTGTGATCCTATGGCACATTACTGCACACATTTTGCCAACGAGAAAATAACCCATTTGTGGCTGCTTTCTGATTCCTGGTAGCCAGTTTTCTATCTATGCCAATATCTTGCCACTTTTACTACAAGCTTTTATTTTCCATGGCAATCTTGGAAGGTACACCTCATCAAATGTCTTCTGGAAAGCTAAGTACAGTACACCCACAGCACATATTACTTCCTCAAAGAGCTCTAATAAATTGCTTAAACATGATTTCTCTTTCAAAATTGCGTTGACTCTATCTGATTACGCAGAACCTTTCTAAGAATCCTGCTATAACCTCTTTAATAATAGCTTGTAATATCTTCCTTATGTCAGATAGTAAGCTAGCTGTCTTGTAATTTCCCGCTTTCTGTCACTTTCCTTTTGATTAAAAGAGTTACATTCCTATTTTCCAATCTAATGGAAACATCTTTGAATCTGGGGAATTTTGGAAAAATAAAACCAATGCTTCAACTATCCCCAGTCACTTCTTTTAGACCCTAGAAGGAAGTCCATCTAAAAACCCAGACAGTTGTTAGTGTCAGACCAACAATTTACTTAGTGCCACTTTGCTGGTACCTTTCATTTTCTCGAGTTCTTCCCACAAAAACATTTCTTGATTGACAACTATTTCTGGAATATTTATGTTTTATATGACAAGACTCCTGGCCCTACAGCCGATCAGGCAGTTTACATATTCAAACATTCTTCCTCCAAACAGCAAATTTCTGGTTTTAGCAGCGGGCAGTTGGGAAGGAAAAGTAATTAATTATGCTGTGAATGTAACAAGATGTCCCAACGAAAAGTACATTTGGACACTAAACAGGTTTTAGAAGAGGTGTTGGGCATTATTCTGTATCTATGTGCATTTTAAGTAGCTTTTCAAGTTTGGAGGTTTCTTTCCACTTTATCTGTTTTCTTTGAAATGCCAGCCTTCAGTATGGTTCTGGACTTCTTTGAGGGGAGTCCCTCATTTTAAGATACTAGGTGTACCATCAAGGGATTTGACTGGGCAGGGAATGGCAGCTGAAAGTCACCCACTACCCTTGCCACTAATGCCACCTCCTGTGACTCATACCCATGACGCCCATTTCTGCATTCAATCACAAGTGGCCTGGGGTCTCTTTTCGATCCTGGGCATTGGGTGGTGCAGTGCCAATGGTGATCATTGTTCCCCCTGGTGCCGATAGCAATGGTGAACTGCTGACACTGTCACCCACACTGAAATATATCCTCTAAAGCAATCTGATAAGTCCTTGTATAAAGGCACTCCCTTCCATGTGCAGCATGAGGCCCTGGCAAAGAATCATGTTAAATGCTGAATTTTGTTTTTCTCACATCTTGGATGGAAACATCTGATCTGGAGGTGATGAGCTTGTAGGTGGAGAGGGCAGTTAATTATGGAGGATGGTAGCATTATCCAAACCCTAGCCCCTTCCCACTTCAACCAGAATTAGATTCTGAGCAGGAAAGCTCAGGTCAGCTTTCCTATCCCACAGCCAATTAAGGCCCTTAAGTCATAGAATCCTTATGGTGCAGAAAGAGGCCATTCAGCCCATTGAGTCTGCACCAACCCTCCAAGAGTATCTCATCCAGACCCACCCCATCCCTTTAACGCTGCATGGGGTATTTACCATGGTGAACCCACCTAACCTGCACACCCCCGAACACAATGAGCAATTTAGCAATCCAGCTAACCTCCACATCTTTGGACTGTGGGAGGAAATCGGAGCACCGAGGAGAACGTGTGAACACTACACAGACAGGTACCCAAGGCTGGAATCAAATTCAGGTCCCCGGTGCTCCGAGGCACCTAAAGCTCTCAGCCCATAGCTGCTGAGATTAAGCTGGCTTGAGGTGGGCTTGTCACCATGTAGCACCTCACATTGTACACCTCATGGCAGCCTGTCAGCTAGCTTGGTGTGTGGTTCCCTTATTAAGGGCAATCAGCTCCCTGAATGAAAGGATTGTACATTAGGTTTGGGCAGCGCCACTCCATGCTTTTGCTCCAAACATGCAGGCCCCCTCTGCCCGAGCACCACAGCCTGAGAGACCCTGTCCCTTCGTGCCACAAACCTTTATCTTGAACCTTTTTGATTTTGGTGCTCTCCCGCCAGTAGCTACAGCCTCCAGCTTGGCATTGCTGAACAGAACACACGGACAGCTCTTGACCAGTGGGACCAGGGGAGGAGGTCTGTTGGTAGTGATGCCACAGACTGATTGGCATGTGGCTCAACAGGTCATCACAGAAGGGGCTGTGCAAGTTTCCAACTATATCTCCAGACTGCAAGTGAGACCCCTGACCCTTCAACAAGACCCCTGCCCCATGGATGGAGAGACTAATTTCACCAGAGATCAGATAAAAGCACAAACCATGGATAGAAACTAACCAAACTCTGGGAATGTTTGATGGGACAGTATAGAGGGATCCTTGCTCTCTCTTTTTCTGACTTATGCTATACCTGCTCTGGGAGTATTCAATGGGACAGAACGAAACAAATATCAATTGGAGATGTTCAAAACTTCAGCAGTGATGTTTCACAAATCTGATAAGCCACAAAATAAAACATTTTGTTTTAAATTGGATAGAAGAATTTAAATGCTGGAAATCCAAAATAAACAGAGATCTTTCTGGAACAATGAACAAAATTGATCAAAATCTAAAACTGTTGAGGGGTATCACATGAATCAGTATCTTTTTCTTCAGATAGTTGAGGGGCTTGTTATTGGAAGTTTCTGTATATATATTGAGATTGTACAATGTCAGTGTTTCTTTGTAGGTTAGAGGAAGCAGGTGTGAAGTGTCCTCGCTCAAGCATTGGTTCAACACCTACCTGCAGTCACCCTATACCAGACATGGCTCGTCTCAGTGAGCTCCATCCTGGAAACTATGTCTTTTATGGTGAGAACCATTTGCCTTACAGACAAGGGAAATTGTTAAAATCTACTTCTTTAACCACATTTTAATTATCCTTTTATTATTTTCTTCTTCAACTTATTGTCTCTTTTGTCCAACTATGCTTCTGTGAAGGGTCATTAGAATTTTTTCTAAGTTAAAAGTGCTATATGAATGGAAATAGTTGAATGTTGACAGGGCACTGGGAGAAGTTCCTGCTCTTGAGATTGGGCCTGAGATTTTGCACTCCCGGCCACACAGGCAAACAGAGCTACATTTCAGTTAAGTAGATGAAATCTCTGACAGTGCATTAGCACAGGAGTGTCAGCATAGGTTGTGCGCTCAAGTACTAGAATTATGTTTTAACCACTATTTTTTGATAAGATTAGTTTGTAGAATTGTTTTGTTGTGAGTCAACAGCTTATTCTAATCTGACATAAGGGTAATGATACACAAAACCTCAATTATTCCCAACAATACTCCTGACTGTGTATTAGTATGCTTCATGTTTCTCAATGCAGATCGCTGAGTATTTATTTTTGAATAATTCTCCCCCAGACATCCAACAGATGATGATTGGTTCCTGTCAGATGGACGATATTGCTGTGCGAGTGCTGACGAGGGTGATAGGTCACTATCCACATCGGAATCAAATGTTGGTCGACTGTGGATGGACGGCATTGAGCCTGGACAGTTTGGGAAAGCTGCCGACAGGCTATGCACTCATTGATGGTCATCCTGAGCTGAAGTAAGGAACGCATATTTGTGAAACAGTATAAGGAAGCAGATAAAAGCTGCCCTTGGTAGTTGTGCGTTCAGCCACTGAGAGTATCACAACTAAGCACACTCCTGTTTTGTGTGATTGTTGCCAGTGTCTTTCCTGTGCAGAACCTAGATTTGGTAAGGCCAGATGCAGCTCTCCACGCACACATTTGTGTGTTTGTTTTAATGGTATTGTTTCTCTAGCTAGAGTAATTGCACCCTTACTGGATCGGTGAGTAAATAAACCACTCAGTATGCTACAAGCCAGGATTCTGCAGGCTTGATCCCTGCACTACGCTGTGTTTGTTAGTGAAGAAGAGGACAAGTGGGTGGAGCAACTTCGATCTACAATTGCTCTTGCTAACTGAGGAAACATTCCAGGATAAGTACAGCATTGACTAAAGCTCCCTGTAAACCATTCAAATAAATACTTGCAGGGCAGATATCAGTCGGATTAAAGATTTTGTTCTCCAGTTCCTTACGTGCCAGGTTTGGACTCACGACCTTCTGACTCCATGGTAGGCGTGCTACCCACTGAGTCAAGGCTGACACTTCAGTCAGTTCGATAAAGAGTAAATTCCCCCTTATACAAAGGTAGATTTATATTTATAAGACTCTCATTTTTATGACCACAAGTTATGACCAAACCATTCATAGCCTGTGAAGTACAGTCAACAGGACAATCCAATTTGGCCAATTACCCATGTATCATTCTAGTCTCAATCTTAATCAGCAAAGTACTGGAAGGCATTGCTAGGTGCAGAGATAGTGCCCCCATCTCTGAGCCAGGAGGCCTGTCTTCAAGTCTCACCTGCACCAGCAGTGTGTCATAACATGTCTGGACAGCATGATTTTGTTCAAAATGGTGTTCCTATCAAGCAACAATTATTTACCAATAACCTGTTCTCTGACGCTCAGTTTGGTCCCTTCCAGGATCACATGATTTCAGACCTGTGTTGGTTCAAGGCTTAACTGAGCTATAGGGAGAGGCTGAATAGGCTGGGGCTATTTTCCTTGAAGCGTCGGAGGCTGAGGGGCGATCTTACAGAAGTTGATAAAATCATGAGGTACAAGGATAGGGTGAGTAGGCATGGTCTTCTCCCACAGGTGAGGGAGTCCAAAACTAGAGGGCATAGGTTTAAGGTGAGAGGGGAAAGATTTAAAAGGGACCTAAGGAGCAACTTTTTCACACAGAGGATAATATATGTATGGTATGAGCTGCCAGAGGATGAGATGGAAGCTGGTACAATTACAGCATTTAAAAGGCATTTAGATGGGTATATGAATAGGAAGGGTTTAGAGGGATATGGGCCAAATGCTGGCAGATGGGACTAGATTTATTTAAGGTATCTGATCAGCATGGATGAGTTTCCGTGCTGTATGTCTCTGTGACTGTATGACTGTAGGTGTGGTGGGAGTGTCAGCCTTTGACATCAAGGCATCGCAGACGCTGAATGTGGTGTTAAGGAGCTCCAGCAAATTTAAAATCTCTTAAAGGAATTAAAGGAAAATCTGTCCATTGGCTGGAGTCACACCTATCACAAAGAATTGTAGTGTGATTATCAGAGGTAATCATCTCAGTCTCTAATCCTAACATTGCTGCCTGAGTCCCTCAGGGCTGCATTCCATAGGTCCAATCTTCTTCAACTGTTACATCAATGAACTTCCTTTCATTACAATGTCAAAATTGAGTATGTTTGCCAGTGATTTCACAATGATCTGAGCCACTTGCAACTCCTCATTTACTGAAGCAGCCCATGTTTATTTTATCTTTATTCTTTCATAGGCATCACTGGTAAAGCCAGCATTTGTTGCCACTCCTAATTGCTCTTGAATTGAGTGGCTTGCCAGGATATTTCAGAAGGCAACCACATTGCTTTGGGTCCGGATTCACATATAGGCCAGACCAGTAAGGATGACAGATTTCCATCCCTCAAGCACATTAGTGAACCAGATGGGGTTTTACAACAATAAATGATCATTTTCATAGTCACATGGCCATATGTTACAAGACCTGGACAAAATTCAAGCTTGGAATGATAAGTGGCAAATAGCATTTAACAGCATGTAGATGTCAGGAAATTACCATTTCCAACAAAAGAAACTTTATCATCACCCTTGATGTTCAATTACATAACAATTGCTGAATCCCTAACTATCTTAATCCTGGTGGTTAGCATTGACCAGAAACTGAATTGAACCTGCCATATAAATACTATAGCTCCAAGGGATGGATAGAGATTTGGAATTCTATAGTAATTTGCCCACTATCTGAGTCCCAAAAGTCTGCAAGGCACAAGTCAAAGGTATGATGGAATACTCTTCATTTGCCTTGGTGAATGCAGTTCCAACAATACTCAAGATGCTTGATACAATCCTACACATAGTAATCCACTCAACTGGCATCCATCCACCCTTGAACATTCATTCCCTTCACTACCGGTGTATAGTGGCAGCAGTGTGCACCACCTACAAGACGCATCGCAGTAACACTCCAAGGATCTTTTGGCAGCTCCTTTCAGATTTGTGACCTCTACCACATAGAAGGACCAAGGCAGTAAGTGCATGGAAACATTGTAACCTGCAACATCCCCTCCAAGTCATACTCTATCGTAGTTAGAAAATATAGAGTCATAGAGATATACAGCACGGAAACAGACCCTTCGGTCCAACTCGTCTTTTCCAAACAGATATGCTAAATTAATGACTGCATTTGGCCCATATCCTTCTAAACCCTTCCTATTCCTCTTCATGTACCCATCCTTTTAAATGTTGTAGTTGTACCTGCCTCCACCACTTCCTCTGGCAGCTCATTCCACACGAGCACCACCCTCTGTGTGAAAAAGTTACCACTCAGTCTTTCTTAAATCTTTCCCTCTCACCTTAAGCCTGTGGCCTGTAGTTTTGAACTCCACTACCCTGGGAAAAAGATCTTGGCTATTCACCCTATCCATGCCCCTCAGGATTTTAGAACCCTCAATTAGGTCACCCTTCAGCCTCCGATGCTCCAAGGAAAATAGCCCCAGTCTATTCAGCCTTACCCTATAGCTCAAAACCTCCAACCCAGGCAACATCCTTGTAAAAACCTCCTCCATACTCACTGACCAATCCCCACCACTACCTACCTGCACTCACCTATCACCATCCCACCTACCTTCCCCAGCCTGACCCCCCCTTATTTATTTCAGAGCCCTCTTCCCCTCCCCCATTTCTGAAGAAGGGTCCCAACCCAAAACATCAGCATTCCTGTTCCTCTGATGCTGCCTGGCCTACTGTCTTCCTCCAGCTCCACACTGTGTTATCTCAGACTCCAGCATCGGCAGTTCTTACTATCTCCAAAATCCTTGTAAATCTTTTTTGCATCCTTTCAAGTTTAACAATATCTTTCCTATAGTAGGGAAACTACATTTGAATGTAGTATTTCAAAAGTGGCCTAACCAACGTCCTGTACAGCTGCAACATGACTCCCAACTCCTATACTCAATGCATTGACCAATAAAGTCAGTGTACTAAATGCCTTCCTCACTACCTGTAACTCTGCCTTTAAGGAACTATAAACTAGTGCTCTGTTCAGCAACACCCCCAGGACCTTACGATTAAGCGTGTAAGTCCTGTACTGATTTGTCTTACCAAAATGCAACACCTCACATTTATCTAAATTAAACTCCATCTGCCACTCCTCGGCCCATCGTTCCTTTGCTGTCAGGATCCTGGAACTCCCTCCCAATGAGCAATGTCAGTGTAGCTACAATACATAAACTGTGGCGGTTCAAGAAGGTGACTCAACACCACCTTCTCAAAGAAAATTAGGAACAGCCAATAAATGCTAACACCAGCGACATTGTCATCCCATGGATGAACAAAGAAGTTAATGTTGTCATTAAAATAGAAAATACGGCAGGCATTTTGTGCACAGTAAGTTTTCACGAAAAGTAATGTGGTCATGACCTGATAATTTGCTTTGTGACATTTATTAAGGGATAAATAGTGGCTTTGACATCAGGTATACCACCTCTGCTGTTCTTCAATTTCCTGTCATTGTATAGGTTTCAATTCCACCTTCATGCAGACAGGTTACCTCTGACAATGCAGTACTGAGCCAACCTAGATGTTTTACACTGCAATTTCTGGAGTGGAACTTGCTAATTCAGAAGTAAGTGAACTACAAAACACATGGCTGACACTGTCCCTTCAAACAATCCTAGAAAAGAAGTAATGCAGGACACTGCTGTCTGAAGTGTAGCCACTATTTTTAATAAAGAAAATACCAGACTGTATATAACAAAGTGGAAATGAATACAATGAAATAATGCAAATTTGAATTGGTGATGCTGAGTGAGGGATAAAAATTGACCAAGACACCAGAACAATTCTTCAGATTTTCTTTGAAATGAGGTCGTAGGTACTTTCATATAACACCTTAGGTGGGACTTGGCTTAATGCTTCATTCCGGGATTTTAATCAGTTAGGAAAATACAATCCTTCTTAAGCAGCAAAATGAAAGAGCAAGCCATAGGTGAGGGAAAAGCTTGAGAGACCAGAGGCAGGTCAGGTTGAACTGGGGTGTATGAGATTCTTGCACCTTCCTTGTGCTGTCTAACCCCAACTACCTAAATGACCCAGGCCTGGGATTGATTGTGAGGTACCAGGCTTGTGAGTATGGATTCTACTGTAATACATTCGGACTGGTGGAGTGGACTTGCAGGAACTTCTGAGCTCTTTTTTCCATTTGTCCACAAATGTTGAAAGACTGCTGTCTAATCCAATGCATATTCCAGTCCCAGCATTACCATTTATATCTGTTTTTTTCATTGCAGGTTGGTGGGAATGACACAGGAACATGGGAAAATTGAGCCAACTTCAGGGAAACTGGATTTTAACAAGTTTCCGCTTGGAAGCTTGATTTCACTTATTCCTTATCATGTAGGTACTTTGGTTTGGATGTGTGCAGACTTGTGTTACAGTAAGAAAACATTGTCCTGAAAGCAGGCAGGAGCATAAACCTCAGATTCACTGATCAAGGTGATGTTTTGGTGCATTGGATTTTGTTGAAACTAGTGATAAATTTGCACATTTAGAAATCAGAAGGAAAGCTTATAGTAGCCCAATATCTACTCCAGTGGTATTTGCTTCAGTGCTGTTAATTAGTTCCACAATTTGAAAAGAGTTCTCGTAAGATCTCGTTGGGAAACGTCTCACCCAGTGTCATACTGGGCCAAGTCTGTACAGAAAGTCCCATACCTAGTCTCTGAGATAATCAATCACACCAAGGTGACAATGTAGGTGACTGCAATGTGTGTGAGATCAGGATTGAAAAATTAGCTATGCTTGGCACTCTAAATCTGTCTAAGACTATTGGGTATGTGCATGTCCTGGTGCATGTGTGTCTGAGAATATGTGGATGTTTGAGAATGTATGTGAACATTTTGGTGTGTGTATATGTCATGACCAGACCTCAGGCGAGGTTCCCCAATTTGTTATGGTTCCAAATGTATAACCCAAATCACTAATCTCGCAGGTGAGGGGAGATGAACCAGCTCCCCTTCTTTATTCATCCCCTCCAACCCCCAGTGGTGAAAATAAGGTTAATTTTATAAGGATCCTTTCCATTGTGGATATCTATCTCTTGAATTTATGTTTGAAAAGGAGCCAATTTAACCACACAGCCCGGTGTGTCTGTCTCTCAGTGGCCCGGTGTGTCTGTCTCTCAGTGGCCCGGTGTGGCTGGCTCTCAGTGGCCCGGTGTGTCTGTCTCTCAGTGGCCCGGTGTGTCTGTCTCTCAGTGGCCCAGTGTGGCTGTATCTCAGTGGCCCGGTGTGGCTGTATCTCAGTGGCGCGGTGTGGCTGTATCTCAATGGCCCGGTGTGTCTGGATCTCAGTGGCCCGGTGTGGCTGGCTATCAGCGGCCCGGTGTGGCTGTATCTCACTGGCGCGGTGTGGCTGTATCTCAGTGGCCCGGTGTGGCTGTGTCTCAGTGGCCCGGTGTGGCTGGCTCTCAGTGGCCCGGTGTGGCTGTCTCTCAGCGGCCCGGTGTGGCTGTATCTCAGCGGCCCGGTGTGGCTGGCTCTCAGTGGCACGGTGTGGCTGTATCTCAGTGGCCCGGTGTGGCTGGCTCTCAGTGGTCCGGTGTGGCTGTCTCTCAGCGGCCTGGTGTGGCTGTATCTCAGTGGCCCGGTGTGGCTGGCTCTCAGTGGCCCGGTGTGGCTGTATCTCAGTGGCCTGGTGTGGCTGTCTCTCAGCGGCCCGGTGTGGCTGTATCTCAGCGGCCCGGTGTGGCTGGCTCTCAGCGGCCCGGTGTGGCTGTCTCTCGACCCAGCGTGGCTTTAGCGTGGACTCCCAGCCTCGAGATGATTTCACAGCAGTCTTCTGGCCTTGAGAGCCTCAAGGTGAAGTTGGCACAGTGTTGGAGTCAAGGCCTGACACAGAATAGAGGCTAGGTGCTGGCATGGACTGGGTTGAAAGGACTCTAATGCTCGACTTTTCAATTCTTTATTTTTCTAAATATTTTTTCCCCCTGTAAGAATTTGCACTTAAGAATCTGTACCTTTGCACCTAAGATACTGCTGTAAATGGCAACTTGTAAACTCCTCACTGTACTCGTTTGGGTACATGTGACAGTAAGAGCTAATTCTAATTCTACTTCTAATTCACTAATCACAAGAAGCAATAATAATGTAACACACATATACACAAATTAGGAATAAGAAATGAGTCCAAAAAAAGATTAAAAAAGAGATATACAGATCAGTCTTTCTGAGTCATTAATAAAGAATAGGTAATGAACATTGTGACCCTTACATTGGATGGCACTAGTAATTTTATGTCAGTAGTTGACCAATTGATTTTTAGGTTCTTGGATTTGAAAGTTGATTGAAATTCCTTCGTTCTAGTTCCCTTTGACAGTGGTTGAGTGGCAACATTCAGAGTGGGAAATTGTCTATTACTCTTTTACCTGCAATTCAATTAATCGCTGTTCTCCAACAGTGACCTTCACATCACTAGTTCACACACTAGTATGTCGGGCCAGTAACATACACAGACCAGAGCTTCGGTTGCTGTTTGACCCCTTTTATTGTAAATCCCTGGAAGGGTAAAACACAAACACGATTGCAGGAGATAGCTTCTTGCTGAAAGAGGGAGGATAATCAGTCTCTCGTTTCCCTTTTTAGTCATTATGTTTGATGTTTCCCTGACTCTATAGAGATATGACATTCCATGGGCTCTGGAGCTAGTCACTGAATTTACATCCACAGGTGGGTTTTGGTTGTAGCACTCCTCTTAAAATGATAAGTTTGCACTTGACTACTTCAGGGTTTTGTGATCTATGATGTGACACTATGAGTGTATTTGTGTGTGCGTGAGAGTATGTGTGGTATGCCTTGCTTCATGTGTGTTTGTGTATGAGAGCCTATAGGCCAGTATATTGTGCTCCTCTGCTGGCGAGTTTGAAGGTGGAAAAGCTGTAAATTGAAGCACACAGCTTGCCTATGGCCTTCTGATCTATCTCCTGTATTATCAGAGCACAGGGGACAGTGGAGGCGTTGGACATCCCAGCTGCCCTAGGGCCTATGAGACCTTTAGGTCAATTGATAGTCACATATGTGCCTCAGTCCTCCTTCATCATTTTTCCACAAGCAGTATGGATTGGACAACATTGAATGGGTAGCTCAGCAATCTGGGGTGCATGTGAGCTTGTGTCAGGAAGGATCAATAGTGTAACTACCTTTAACTCCCCAACACCCGCTTCTGAAGTCCCCTCACTCTCCTGGCTGTGGCCTGACAGCCAGGCCCTGCCATACAAAGAACAAAGAATAGTACTGCACAGGAACAGGCTCTTTGGCCCACCAAGACTGCCTTCATATATGATGCCTTTCTAAACTAAAAACTTTTTGCTTCTCCTTGCTTGTCCATATCCCTCTATTTCCTGCCTATTCATGTATGTGTCAAAATGCCTTACAGATATTGCTATTGTGTCTGCCTCCAACACCTCCTTTGGTAGCACATTCCAAGCACTTACCACCCTGAATTTAAAAAACCTGCCTCTCTCATCTTCTTTAAATATACCCCATTTTACCTTAAACCTACGTCCCCTAGGAATTGTCATTTCTACCCTGGGAAAAAGACTCTGACTATCCACTCTATCTTTGCCTCTCATAATTTTCTAAATTTCTATCAGGTCGCCTTTCATCCTTCGACACTCAAGTGAAAACAAACCAAGTTTGTCCAATCTCTCCTCATAGCTAATGCCCACCAAACCAGGCAACATCCTGGTAAACCGTTTCTGTACCTTCTCCAAATCCACCACATCCTCTGGTAGAGTGGCGACCAGAGCTATGCACAATATGTGGCCTAACTAAAGGACTGTGCAGCTGCTACGTAGTACTTCAGGCTTACCTTCAGTCCAGACTCATTAGTTGCCCATGTCCCAGAACTGCTTAGTCCCTGCAGTGATCACCGCCTGAACCCGATACTGCTGGGACTAAGAGGTTGACAGCTCCCTAACATGGGACTTCTTTACCTGATGGAGGTGCAAGTCTCTCTCTCTCAGTCAATTCCGCCCAGCTGAATGTTAAATGGCTGCAGGGTAGCTGGTATCATCAGAACTTATTCACTTCTGAGAAGATATGAGCACACACACACAAATACACACAAAATTACTCACACACATGCATGCACACACACAAACACACACCCATCTACCGGTTAGTATCACAGAATGAGATTTGGCAATGATACTGATATTCATTGCTCAGCTTCAAAATGAACTGGCTATATGCTCCAGTACTGACTGATGTACAGATGTATTTACTGCCTTATAATTTTTTTTCCTAATTAAAGGCCTTGCCTTACACATCATATGGAGCAAATTACAGGTTCGTTCTATTTATTATAGTCTTTTGACATTAGAAAATGAAAAACAAATTTTGAATTTATGATTAAACTGCACAGGACATGTAGAATGGACTGCTATCAACCCAGAGTGTCATCCACTGGGACATAAGTGCTTTTATTTTGGTTCACAGCTGATGAATAAAAGCAAAGTACTGCAGTTGCTGCAGACATAAAGTCATAGAATCATAGAGATATACAGCACGGAAATAGACCCTTTGATCCAATTCATCCCTGCTGTTCAGATATCCTATATAAATTTAATCCCATTTGCCAGCATTTGGCCCATATCCTGCTAAACCTTTCCTATTCAGATACCCATCCAGACGTCTTTTAAATGTTGTAATTGTGCCAGCCTCCACCATTTGTTCTGGCAACTCATTCCATACATGCCTCACCCTCTGTGTGAAAAAGTTGCCCATTAGGTCCCTTTTATATCTTGCCCCTCTCACCTTAAACCTATGCTCTCTAGTTTTGGACTCCCCCACCCCGAAGAAAAGACCTTGTCTATTCACCCTCTCCATCCCCCTCATGATTTTATAAGCCTATATAAGGTGACCCCTCAGCCTCTGATGCTCCAGGGAAAATAGCCCCAGCCTATTCAGCCTCTCCCTATAGCTCAAACCCTCCAATCCCGGCAGCGTCCTCACAAATCTTTTCTGAACCATTTCTAGTTTCACAACATCCTTCCTAAAGGAGGTGAACTAAAAGCTGTAGAAACCCTGCTGGTCTGGCAGCATCCAGAGAGAAACAGGGTTAACTTTTCAAGCCCAATATGACTCTTCTTTACAACTTAACCAAAATTCCAAACTCAGTTCTGAGTGAGTGGACTGGAAATTGGAAATTGGACTGGAAATGTTACTCCTGTTTCTCTCTCCAGAGATGCTGCCAAACTGGCTGAGTTTCTCCAGCACTTTGTGTTTTTATTTAAGTACTGAGCGAGTCTTCATCAGATTGCACATGGAAAAACAACATTGGATTTGGGCATTACTTTTTAGTTATTGGTCTCAGACAGGGTGCTGTGCAGATTTTCCAAAATTATGTTTGGACTGAAATGGTCAAATTATGAGAACAGGTTGGCTTGATTTCTCTTGAGTTTAGAAGATTATGGTGTGGTCTAATCTAGATGGTTAAAATGAATAAAGATGTTGATGGGGTAGATACAGGAATTATTTTGTCTAGTAGGTGAATCCTATTAGTGAGATTACTGAGACACAATAATAAAATTAGAACTAGGCCATTCCAGTGTGAGGTCAAGAAGACTATTTTCACACTTAGATAATGGAAATCAGGAATTCTGTACTAAAATATGGATGCCAAATTAAATTTCAGGACTGATGTTGATTAATATTTTATTCAGGGCAACGAAGGGATTATTCAAAACTCAGAGAAATGAGGTTGAGGTACAGATTATTTTTATCTAATTGAAGTGAGGGGAGTGTGATGGCCTTTGACATTATGGCAGTATTTGACCAGATCTGGCATCAAGATGCCTTAGCAAAGCTGGAGTCTATGGAAATCAGGGAGAAAGTCTCCATTGATTAAAGCCATACCTGGCACAAAACAAGATGCTTGTGGTTGTAGGAAGTCAATTATCTTAGTCCCAGGAGGTCCCCAAGGGTGTGTCCTAGGCCCAATCATCTTCAGCTACTTCATCAATTACTTTTCTTCCGTTATAAGATCAGAAGTGAGGATGTTTGCTGATATTTGCCCAATATTCAGCACCATTTATCACTCTGCAGATATTGAAGCAGTCCATGTCTAAATGCTGCAAGACCTGGACTTACGTCAAACTCCTGGAACTAACATCTGAACATTGAGTGTTCTTTACCCCACAGAGTGCACTGGTTGAAGAAGGCAGCTCACCACTACTCTCTCAAGGCCAATTACAGGCACAACAAATACATGTTGGCTCCACCAGCAATGTTCACATCCTGTGAACAATTTGTTTTAAAATGGCAGAACAGACTGTCTGCCTTGCCCTCACCTCTCTGCCTCACACGCCCCCAGTTGTCTCCTCTTCTCACAGGCTGCATGCTTTGATTAAGGAACTGGTGGGAAGTCGCTATTACCATAGAAACTTCTTTAAAATAAATGTCTGATGTTCTGAACAAATCTTGAAGTAACATCGCTCTTTCCTTGTACCCTCACTATTCTTTCTCTCTCTTTCATCTGTCTATCTCCATCTCTTTCCTTCTGTACCTGCCTCTTTCTTCATTTCTCCTCCCTCTTTCACCTTCTCTATCTCTCCTTTCCACTACTTTAAAACTCTCCTATCTCCACCAAACCTATCCTTCTTTATGCTTTCCCCTTGTTTCTCTCCCTCTCAATAACCATCTCTTACCCTCCCTCTCTAACTTGTTCATTCCATGTCTTTTTGTTTTCTTTCCTCTCTTTGTCTGTCTTTAAATTCCATTCTCCTCACTCCCCCTCTACCCACCTCTGTTTTTCCATCTCTCTTCACTCATTTTCTCTATGTCTGTTCTTATATCTCTTCTATCATCCATTTCTTTCCCTTTCTTTCCTTCTATTTCTTATCCTCTTCCTCCTCTTTTGTTTCACTCTTTCCCTCTCTCTGTGCCTCGTCTCTACCTCTCTCTTTATTTCCCTTATAGGCCTGTGCCACTGCAGCAATGCATCCTGTCTACTATGTGCAATCAGAAGGGAGGATTGTAGCCGAATGGAGACCAACCCGAGGCTGGTAGAACAAGGAGATCACATGAGGAAATTCTACTTCTGTTTCTCATAGTGCCTATGTTAAGTAGCAATTCAGATGTTGCCACTCCCCTTCCTCTCCTCACATCTCTGTGCAGTCCTCCTCCTCCTCAGATATTTAAATGTTTAGAAAATGTGAAAACATTTCCAGTGTAAATGGAGGCCACACTGCCCATTGTGTCTACAGCTCTGGAGAAATGAGCAACACAGCCAAACCCATTTTCTAGGATGTGCTTCATATTTCTGGAAGCTATGGCACTTAAATGAGTCAAGGGTTTCTACCTGCACTAGTCTTTTGGGCAGTGAAATTTATGTGAAATTTGGATTCATCTCAGCTGTGATGCCCTCCACAATTGAACGGCCTACTGTCAGTAATGAACTGGGGTGATAACTGGAGTGTGACCAAATTCCAGGGAACAGAATATTTTCAAGAATAGGCAAATGGGAGACTGAATACAAACTAGGATTGCATTTAAAGATGTACTCAGCATGTGTCAGATACATAGTGATCGATTGCTTTAGTTTGTTGCAATGTGTCACCTGGTTGTGAGACATTATTGACCAGATGTAGCCACTGGAGATGGGAGTTTCATTCTGGGGAGTCACTTTTGACTGAATTGTGGGCCTCACTGTGTCGCTGATTGCATGCGTGGGCCAAGGGTCAGTGGTTAACACTGCTGCCTCAGCGCCAGGGACTCAGGTTTGATTCCAGCCTCGGGCAACTGTCTGTATGGAGTTTATTCTCCCTGTGTCTGTGTGGGTTGCTCCTGGATGCTCTGGTTTCCTCCCACAGTCCAAAAATGTGCAAGTTAGGTGGATTGGCTATGCTAAGTTGCATGTAGTATCTAGGGATGTGCAAGCTAGTTGGATAAGCTATGGGAAAGGCAGGGATATAGGGCTAGAGGGTGGGTCTGGGTGGGATGCTCTTTGGAGGGTTGGTGTGGACTCAATAGGCTGAATGGTCTCCTTCCACACTGTAGGGATTCTATATGATGTGTCCATTTGAAAGAAATGCAAATAAAATGAAATGATGAACATGATTTTGCCTTGCTAGTTTTGATTTATCATTTGTTGCAAGCTCCTCAAGTGAGAGATGTTGCTGTTAGATGGGAACCATCTTTTGTTCATTTTCTCTTGGTGTCAGGTACAGTATAGGAACTACATACTAGTTATATTATTGGACCTGCAATCCAGAGAATAATCAATTCCATCATGAGTTCAATTAGACTAAAAAGTTATAACACTGACTGTGAAGTTGTTAGATGGTCCTTTCGAGAAGGAAACATGACATCCTTATCCTGTTTGGACTATACGTGACACCAATATGACATCAATACAGTAGATATGTAACTGAACTTTGAAATGATCTATCAAGCTATTTACAACCTCAGTGCAATGGGAGGTAATAGTAAATGGTATGCATCCCCAGGACATTCACATGGAAAAAACCAGTTAAAATAAACATTGCACCTTAAGTTTCATGTTCCTCTTTCATCCCAAATGCATCCTTTCTCCACAACAACTCTCCTCTTACCAAGTTCAAGACGTGCACAGTGTTTCCATATCTGGGGTTTGTTTTAGCAGCAATCACACTCCTGGATGGCACATGGGAGATGTCACCCACTTTCTCACCTCTAGAGGTCTCTGTCATAGCTTTTCAATTTGATTATTTTGTTGGAACTGCAGGATTGCTCCTCTCAACCTTTGCTCCCAAGCTTTGAATGCGTCATTCCACATTCTTGTCCCTCTGCTTCCTGTGTTAAAATAATCTCATACGCTTTCAAGTGTCAGCTGTGGCTCATTGGTGGCCTCGGAGTTGGAGATTTGTGGTTTCTAGCCTCGCCGTAGAGGCTGGAGCTCATAATCCTGGCTGACACTCCAGGGAATGCTGTGCTGGCTGGAGTTGCAGGCTTTCAGTCAAGGCATTGAGCCAAGATCCCTTCAGCCCTCTCTCAGGTGGATATATAAATTCCCATGGTACTATTGAAAAGAGACAATGAGCCTATCGATGTTCGAGTCAATAGTTTCCTCTCAAACAGCATCAGTGAAACCAGTTACCTTCCATTTATTATATTTTTTGTTTGAGGAAGATTGCTATCCACATTTTGAGCTAAATTCTTCTTGTCCCACAGGGCAAAACTGGGAGGAATTTCACAGGAGTTGAGGTCAGGCTAGTGGCCTGACATGTCACCACTTCGGGTTGATCTTTCCTGAAGTCTGAACAATATCCAGGTTTGAGCTGATAAATGGAAAATAACTTTGGTACCTCACAAGTGCACACACTGACAGTCTCCAACAAGACAGAATCTAACCATTCTCCTTGACAGTCAATGGCATTGCCATCAGTGCATATCTCACTATCTACATTCTGGGGTTTACCTTTGACCAGAAATTGAACTGTTCCAGCTGTGTAAATACTGTGATTATAAAAGCAGGCCAGAGGCTGAGAATTCTGTGTCATTTCCCGTCTCCTCAAAGTCTGTCCTCCATCTATAATTCAGGAATGTGATGGAATTCTCTCCACTTGCCCGGATGGGAGCATTCCCAATGACACTCAAGAAGTTAAAACCATCCAAAACAAATCAGCTTGCTTGATTGGAACCCATCAATGCCTTCAATATTCATACCCTCCATCACTGAAGCACAGTAGTACCACACTGCAACAACTAGCCAAGGGCTTTCCGACAGCATCTTCCAAAGCTGCAACCTTTCCCACCCATGGACATGGTATCACCACCACCAACTCTACAAGCTTCAAGACATACCATCCCGACTTGGAAACATAATTGCTGTTTCTTCACTGTTGCTAGACCAACATTCCCTTTCTAACAGGTGTGCCTACACAAAATGGATTGCAGCAGTTCTCAAACACAATGGGCAATAAAGGTCAGCCTATCGAGTGATGCCCAGAGTCCATGAAAATTATTTTTAAACAGTGATTCAGTACCTGCAGGGGCTATATGCAAGACAGCAGGAGGCAGCCCTTTTGCATCATTTACTGCCCATTTGTGTGCTGCTTAGAGATGTCACTGGGATCTACCCTATGGTGGATTAGCTCCCCACTGAGGGTCACATCAGTGGCTGCCTGGTTTGTAAGTGACTGTCTTGGGGATCCCTCCTACACTAAACTGGGAGCCATGGTCATTAGCTGCTGCCAATAACTTACATAGTTCCTTACACAGTCACTCACTGTAATTCATTCTTTAGCTGCTGCCAATGACCATCCTGTGGAGATGCTTGCCCTATAGCAGCAGCCTGGCAGCTATGGCAACTGTTCATATGGTTTCCCCTCTGCCTGTGGCAGAAGCGGGGATGGAGTCACTGTTCTTCCAGAGCTCTTAGGCTTTCTGATTTGGCCTCAGCAAATCACCTTCTCTCTTCAATTGGATGGCAGACCTAGAAGCAACGATTTAATTGGTCGGTCCGAGAAACTCTCGTAGGCCTGCACCTTGCCAACAAGAGTCAAATAGGGACACGGAAATGGGCGCTACTCGCTCTCATATCCTGTGACAGATGGTTGTTTGTTGGGGGCTTATATTACAAAAGAGACTACAGTTAAAATATTTCCTTTAGCTTGGGGCAACCTGAGAGTATGAAAGGCATATATACAGTAAATATGCTGTACATATGGTATTTATGCCGTGTTATTTATAAGTAAACCCAGCATGTAAGACAGAACCCTCTGTTTGGATGTGAAAATGCACATATGGACCTATATTTAGCATAGGAGTTGACCCCCATTTCTCAGCTAATAAATGCAAGTTTTGGGCTACATTCACATGAGTGGACAGCTTCAACTTTTCAGATTGGAAATATATGTTTAACGTTATACTTGCCAAATAAGGCAGCATGATTAGCTGGCATGGATTGTGTTGACAGGAAGGTACACTGGAGTTTAAGAAATGCCTGGGACTTTAAGACAAAGCAGACTGCACACAGTGATTGATGAATTAAAAATATTTTCAATTTCAAAATGTACTCCCCTGCACATCAACACCAGTAGATCACAAATCACTGATCCTGGTTTTATTTTTTAAGCTTCACATATTGCCTTTTATGATGTGATCTGAGCTAAATGTAAGTTCTTTATAGGATTCTTTTGGTTGCTTTACCTTAGCTCCTTACATAGTCACTCACCGTAATTCATTCTTTCTAGTCACCTATCTCCCTCAATTTTCCCTCTCCTCTTGACAGTCAATAGGTCAAAATCCAAACGTGCTATCAATTAATCTCTCATCTTGTTTTTTTTAGCATTATCCTACTCTTGAGAACCCTCACACATCTGACTTATCACTGTAGAGATGGTTTTCTTAATTTCAAAAAATCCTTATTATTTAAAGAAAAAGCCGAGACTAAAATGAGATAGTAAAGCTCCTTCTGAGGGAATAAAAGAGCAGTTTAAGTGTAGCAAGTCTAATCTCTTTTTATTGCTCTTCAATATTGGCCTTTTTGCTGCTGTAAGCCCACCTCCCTCCCCTGACTCCTCCCCAGCAGGAGGATATAGGCCTGGAGTGCATATACACACACCTCGGAACATCAGTCGCCTGCTTTGATGTCCAGGCCTAGCTATTGTTAAGCAGGAAGCATCCATCTGTCACTTTAGAAGTCAGACACAACCCCTGGGGTGTGTCAGGGTGGGGGGAAGGGGAATGGGGGAGGGTTGGTATGAGACTTGAATAGTTTATGAGGGGCTGTAGTAAAACTCTGTTTGCCCAATCGCCAGGAGAAAGAAGTGTGAGAGATGGATTTGGGTGTCAAGGAAATAACCAGAGCATCTTCAAAGCTGCTGTTGGAGTAAAAGGATGAATAACAAATGCACCCGAAAAACAACCGGTTTAAAAATTTGAACTTTTTTCTTCAGTATCTCTGAGGATCCACAACAGTTGCATTAACATAGCACCATTCACTTAACAAAAAAGTTCCAAAATGCTTCATAAGAGCATAATAAGGTAAGCTTATTGCATTGAATCACACAAGGTGAGAGTGAGGCAGATGGCCAAATGTTTGGTTTAAGATGTAGATTCTACAGTGTTTAAAGAAAGAAAGAGGTGGAGAGTTTTAGTCAATACTGGGAGGCAGCAAGGACGTAGCTAGGTCAAGGAGTACTGGGTTAGTAAATGAATTGTTTCTCAAATCCAAGATCACAGCCCAATGCAGTACTGAGGGAGATCAATAGGCTATTGACAGTCTTTATTTCATTTACTTTTGGGACATGGACACCTTTGCTTGCAAGGTCCCACAAATACGAAATAGATAGTGGCCAGAAAATCTGCTTTAGCCATGTTTATTGAAGGAAAATATTTGGTCAGTGCATTGGCCAGTGCTCCTACTCTTCTTCAATATGATGTTATTTGGGATATTTTTACGCCCACCTGATAGGATCACAGTTTAACATCTCTTCTGAAAAATGGCACCTCCAACAGTATAGCACTTCCAACACTATACTAAATTGTCTCAGATATTTTACTGATACCTCTGGAATTTGTCTTTAACATAGAAACTTCTGAAGCAACCAATAACTTATAGCTGATACTCTGTGTCAACTTGAAAGTAAGTGCCACAAGACCATTTAACCATGGAGGAGTACCATAAGTATACTAGGAGGATGGTGATGTGACTCCTGCTATAACTGAAAGGTTAACTGTTTACTTCAGAGAACAGTTCAGAGTCAATCACATGGGTTGATGTATTACTCCATTCCTATACCAAATAGTTCACTCGTAATGGTCTAGCAAGCCATCTAGTTGTAACTGCAAGTGTTC